CCAATAAAATTTTCACAATTCTTTCGTCGCTATTTTGTCGCTCTGATATTTCGATTTTCGCTATTTTGTCGCTGTATTTAAACCCTGAGTTGCTAATGCTTTAACCGTTTATTCAATAGTGATATTTCACTGAATCACGCGAATACTCTAAATATATTAAAGTGATTAATCTCCATTGGAACAGAATAATACAAGTAATACTACTGGCAAAATGAATTTTTTGCTTTTCATTTTCTACTTTTTAAATTTGTTTTTACGAATTGCCTCCTCGGCTTGATATTTGGCTGGCGAGGAATTTATATTAGTTGAACTCTTGTATTTTTCTTTATTTTCGAAAACTTTATTGCATTTTTTAGCTTTCGTACAATTATACCTTTCCTTCGCAACCAAAATATCAGTACCAGCAGTATTTCTCTTCTAATTATAATTAAATTAATTATATTTATTATTATAATTGTAATTAAATTAAGAAGGTGAAATTGTTATTTATTTCTTCTTATTTTCTGATGCCAAAAGTCAAAATAATCATTTTTCGTCAATTTTTAAGAAATAGCTGATTGATCTTCCTTGGTTTAAATCAAAATTTTTTAGAAAAAGAATTTATTTAGAAATTAGATTATTTCGATGTTAATCATTGTACAGAACAAAGGAAATTCGATTAAGGTATAATTGATAATATGATTGCACTTCATTAGCGCGTCAAATGATGTGAGACAAATACACTATAAATTTCAAAAACCATGTTTGAGCACCTGAAGTCGTTCTCACGCTAGGGAGTTCTTTAATAATTTTCCGGATTGTGATTGAAATAACAATTGTTTTTGCTGCATATATATTGCCTAAATTACGGGTCGAATCTTCATTATTTTGACCATTGAAAATGTTCATTGCTTTGCTTATCATAGCATCGTTATGCACTCTTTCTAATGGTGCTACAGAAACTATAAACGTTTGCAATGTTCCAATGCCAGGAATGGCACAAATGCCTGTGCAAAGACCTTCAGTGCCTGTCGAGAATTGCCAAGATCGTGATGCATTGGCTTGCTATGAATTATTCAAACCTGGAGATAACGATGGTGAAATTGGAATGGCATTCAATCAGAATCGTATGGAGTGAGTGCTTCGACATTAAAAATTACTTTCATATTACTTTCCATTAATTTCTAAAAATGCTTTAAAAGATAATTGGAAAAAAATAAACTGCACTTTGATTATAAACACCGTTTAATTACTTGTATTATTTTCATAGGATCCATTGTTTTCATTGTTGTTAAAGACAGAAATCATTTTTGTTTTCTAGATTTTTTTTAGCATTATTAGCTTAAATTCATAAAAAGTCGAACTGACTAACAATGCAGAACTTAAAAAATAGAAAAATCTATAAAATTTCATTTTTGTTCTAGAAATATGGATTATAAAGTTCGAGATACGTGTCAGCAGCCTCCCTATAGAATGTTGGCTCGACAATTGTGTCCACGAATGTGTGCGACATGTTGCTTGACTAGGGAATATAATTGTGATAAAGGTAAAGTTCAAATGGTTTCATTCTTATCATTTTTATATAACTAAATTCAACGAGGACTACTTGGGTTTCCTTATTTCTTCTGTACCTCACACAAGATATTTTATAGATACTATTTAAAAAAAACTAAAATTATATATGCAGTAGAATTGTGCTGCACTCTAATCACATTCAAAAATTAAATTGATAATGATCTCAAAGAAGAAATGAGGTGTAATTTTTCACAGGAAATTCCATACAATTCATTGTAGATAACTGAAAATATACCCAATTTCAGTCGGAGGCCGAGAAGGTCCATGCAGAAATTTTTCAAGGTCACTCTGCACAAGCATCCCAGATTTTGCTCTGCGATTTTGCCCACAGACTTGCGGTCTTTGTCATTTACCTGGTGCTGCAAACATGTGTCCGGACACTATTGATGGTTGCGATGTTTTAGTGCCACTGGGTGTTTGTACCAATGACAGGTTAAAGAGCATGTGCCAGAGATCATGCAATTCACGCGAGTGTTTGTCAAGTAATTTCCGGAATTTTTTATTCCAGAAAGGTTGCGATGTTTTAGTGCCACTGGGTGTTTGTACCAATGACAGGTTAAAGAGCATGTGCCAGAGATCATGCAATTCACGCGAGTGTTTATCAAGTAATTTCCGGAATTTTTTATAATTTATTCCAGAACTGCAAGCCTATATTTTAGCATGGATTTTAGCGACAACTTTATCATCTCCAATACAAAATTGTAAAGACGAACGACAGGGCTGTGCCGCAATTAGAGCATCGAATAACTGTGGCGGTGTATTTCGGACTACAATGATGCAACAATGCGCACGAACGTGTGGTTATTGCACGTAGGCAATGACTGAAGTTGCTGTCACCTTACATAAATTCTTCTTATTTATCGTTTATTATTGATATTGCTCCAAGTCATTTTCAACAGAATTAATTAAGAAATTTATGAAAGAATAAAAAATCATAAATTTTGAATAAATTGACAAAAACACAATTTAATGCTTCATGTGCAATCCTAATTCACAAATCTTTAAAAATAGTTATTGTCCATCGATGTCGATTTGCCTGTTTTTGCTTTTCATCGGCCTGAAAATAACCGCGTTTGATTCACCATTAGCGATATCATTTTTTTGTGGCTTAAAGCTGCTTGTCCATGCATATAACCCGAAAAAGAAAATGTTTTTAGAATTGTCGCTCTAAGTGATGAAAAAGAAATTGGAGAGTTTTCCATTTGTAAAGCTGAACCGCCAACACAAATTTTCTTTTAACAGTGCAAAATGGTTTGTGAAAAAACTAAATAAAATAGAATCGTTATGTGAAGATAAGCTCGTATTACATCTAATTATTTCTCAGGTTCAGTTTCATTTTTTTTTATTTCTATGTTTTCTATGAATCGACAAATTTTGGTAGCCGATGGTCCCAAATACGATTTTTTAATAGTTTAAATAATTTTAATAGTTTAGAATGGAAGCAAAATCTTCAAGTCGTGAACTGAGCAACATGTTTCACGATAGAGTAATGCTTTTGGAACCATGTTCATAATCTATTGGCCAGAAAGGATTTCGTAAAGGACTTTAAACGAACTAGAAGACTTCAGAAAAATCTGTTCAAACCAAATGGAACTCCTATTAAAATCAGCTTTCGATAGTGAATGCTGGGCTATAAATTCCTTTGCATATTTCTGTCGTATCGCATCTTAAATGGAAAAATGCTTTTCTTATTGCAATTAATATAACAATTAATGAAACAATTAATATAAATTAAAAATCACTGCATAAATTGGTAGTAAAAAAATTGCCATTAAAATTCAAATTTAAAATTCAAAATTTGAATATATTTTTTTGGAAGAAAAATCGACCGAAATGGACGAATGAAGTATTTCCTGAAATTCTGCGTTTTGCAGAAAACTCCCGTAAACTGCAAATCCGTATTGAAAATTTTGATAGAGAAGATTTTATCTTATTAAGTCCTTTATTTCAGAAAAATATTTCAGAAATATTTCAGAAAAATTATTATTTAAAAAATTTATCTTTATTTTTTCAAATTCATTTATTCAACCAGAATCGTATGGAGTGAACATTTAGGCATTCAAAATTTATTTCACATTCAAATTAACCAAGAAAAAAATAATTATTTCTATGCTTTGAAATGAGAATCACACAATTTTAATTTTACGGAATTGTCGTTAAGGATTGTATGGTTCAGTATTAAATTATGTTTATGTCGATATTTATTCAAATTCAAAATTCAAAATTTTTTGTTATCCAAAAAATTATTCTATTAAATCAGATTATAATAACAATGATTATAACAATGATAACAATAAATAAAAATTTATGCCAAATGAACTTCGTTTACTGCCTACGTTCGTGCGCATTGTTGCATCATTGTTGTTCGAAATACACCGCCACACCTATTCTATGCTCTAATTGCGGCACAGCCTTGTCGTTATCGTATGGAGTGAACATTTAGGCATTCAAAATTTATTTCACATTCAAATTAACCAAGAAGAAAATAATTATTTCTATGCTTTGAAATGAAAATCACACAATTTTAATTTTACGGAATTGTCGTTAAGGATTGTATGCTTTGCATGGTTCAGTATTAAATCATGTTTATGTCGATATTTATTCAAATTCAAAATTCAAAATTTTTTGTTATCCAAAAAATTATTCTATTAAATCAGATTATAATAACAATGATTATAACAATGATAACAATAAATAAAAATTTATGCCAAATGAACTTCGTTTACTGCCTACGTTCGTGCGCATTGTTGCATCATTGTTGTTCGAAATACACCGCCACAACTATTCGATGCTCTAATTGTGGCACAGCCCTGTCGTTCGTCTTTACAAATTTGTGTTGGAGATAATGAAGATGTCGCTAAAATCAGTGAAAAGCTTTAATTTTTGCAAAATCCGTGTAATTTCAAATTTTTTATTTTCTAAATTTTGGAATAAATTATGAAAAATTCCGGAGATTACTTGATAAACAGTCACGTGAATGGCATGATCTCTGGCACATTTTCTTTAATTTGTCATTGGCACAAACACCCAGTGGCACCAAAACATCAACAGTATATGTTTGCAGCACCGGGTAAATGACAAAAACCGCAAGTTCGTGGGCAAAATCGTAAAGCAAAGTCTGAGATGCTAGTACAAAGTGTTCTTGAAAAATTCCTGCATGGACCTTCCCGACCTCCAATTGAAATTAAAGGCCTTTTCATAGGTTGTCCCTTTTTTCTTCTTCGGCATTATTTTAACGCTTTTCCAATCTAAATTATTTTCTTATGCAAATACTTTTACAATGCGAATATCTTTTAATATCTATTTTCAGATGCAAAAGATTTCTCAATAATA